GGGACTTTCCGAAAATTTGGGGTGCCTTACTTTGGGTGTCCTTATAATAAGGACCCTACTATTTAGGGTACTATATGAGGGTTCCCTATTTTTGGAGACCCCCTATCAAGAATCTCAGGGGCTTGACAACAACGTAGAGTCTCAGAGAGAAAGGGCTCCATGACGTCCCATTTTTGGGGGATCCTAGCTTCTGCGTCCCGAGGTCAGTGGCTTCAGGTTGAAAGCTAAACCCTAAACCCCTAGAACCTCCTAAACCACTAGACCCTTCCCCTAAACCCTAAACCCAAACCCCTAAATGCCTTAACCTTCAACTCCTAAACCTGAACCCGAAACTCTTAAACCCGAAGCCCTAAACCGTAGGATGGTGGTGCCACCCACTCCTCAGCAGCAAGAGGGCAGAGCCTACTCCGCCAGGGACTAAATGCTCGGGTTCGGAGTTTTTGTTTTGGAGGTTTAGGGTTCAGGGTTTAGGGCTGAGGGTTCAGGGTTTAGGGCTGAGGGTTAAGGGCTTAGGGTTGAGGAGTTTGGGGTTTGTTGAATTTTTTAAGATCTGCAAACATCTGGATCATAAACACCTAAACCCCAAAGCGTTAGAGTTTAGGGTTTAGGATTATGGCATGGGTCGTTCCGGTTCGTTTTGGGGGTCCTTTTTATCAGGGTGCCGCCTTGCTCGGGATTGTCTAAAAATTGGACCCAAATTTAGAGAACTACCCTTATGCAGGCTTGGGGATAAACCACGATCGCCCCTCTCGGACTCTGGGATTATCGGTTTCGTCTGTTGTGTTTTGATGTTTAGGGTTTAGGGTTTAGGGTATTCGGGATGAGGGTTAGATCTAGGGTTCAGGGTTTGGTGCTTTTTTGGAATGGAGACTTTCCGGTGCTGGAGATTATGCTAAACCTAGGTTTAGCACAGTGCATGAATTAATCCCAAACGCCCCAAACCCCAGTACTGAACTGCAAACCCTAAACGTTAAACCCTAAACCCCTAAACCCTAAACCCCTAAACCCTAAAACCTAAGCCCTAAGACAGAAAAGTCACTAAGCCTCAACTCAAAAGCCCGGGACCCCGAAGCCCGCAGCTCAAACTAGGGCCAGGGTTTAGGGGTTTAGTTTTTAGGCTTTAGGGGTTTAGGAATTTAGGGTTTAGGGATTTAGGGTTTAGGCTTTAGGGGTTTAGGTATTTAGGGGTTTAGGGTTTAGGCTTTAGGCTTTAGGGATTTAGGGATTTAGGTGTAGGGGTTTAGGGTTTAGGGTTTAGGGTCTACATGCCCGAATTCCTGACTTGGAAGCCGAATTACTCTTTTTCTTTAACTGAACCCTCGGTTGGTAGTTGGAGGGTCAGGTAACTGTCAGCACATATGGTGTTTGGGGTTTCTGTGTTCAGGGGTTCAGGGTTTAGGTTTCAGGGCCCAGGGTTTAGGGTTGAGGTTTCAGGGTTTAGGGCTTAGGTTTCAGAGTTTGGGGATGTTTCCGTCCTCCGTAGCTCTCAGTAATCGAAAGACCTGCCTTCAAAAGAGCAGATCCCTGAGCCAGAGCTGGCATCCTAGAGCGAATGGAGCCCTAACCCTAAGTTACTAACCCCTGAACCCCTAAACCCTAAACCCTAAATGACTAAACCCTAAAGCCCTAAACCCTAAAGTGAAGCATGGAGTCGGGTCACGCAGTAAAGCAGAGATTCGGTTTGGGCTTTAATCGTCCTCTGTTTCAGGTACGGAATCCGCCGAACGCAAAGGCAACCGCACGGAGGACGGCGCAGGTGTTTGAGTTGACTTGAGGTCGGTGGGGTGTCTTGATTTAGGGGCTTAGGGTTCGTAGGGGATTTAGGGGCTTAGGGCTTTAGGGTTTAGGGTTTAGGGTCTCTCTCTCTCTTCTCCCTCCGCTCTCCTCTCTCTCTCTCTCTCTCTCCCTCTCTCTCTCCCTTTCTCTTCCTCTGTCTTTCTATTCGTTTGTGTATGTAGGTATAAAGACAAGATATTGACCGAATATGCTAGCCTCCCTTAACCTCCCGCAAATTCTCTACATTCCGTAGATTCCGGAAGCTGCGCCGGATTTACCCAGATTCAATTCCCGCATTTTTTCAGAAAGCATGTACTGGATTCCCTGGATACCCGATTTGATAGAGTCCCGAATTCCGTAAACCATGCAGTGGATTTCCTGCATTGCCGAAATTCCATCAAGATGAAAAGTGCATTCGTGTAATCTTTCAGAGTCTTCATATTGCCTGGATTTCCTCGGTTCTAAGGCAATCCAGTGTATGTTTTTGTGGAATGAGGGGAATCCGGGAATAACAGGAATCCGTTGAAGTGGTGGAATCTACGGAATCCCGCCTGGTGTATGTACTCACGGAATCAGGGGAGTCCCGCATGTGGCCTGCGCACCCAGGGAATCAGCATATCCGCCGCATGGTTTCCCGGGGAATCCTGCTAAAAAGCCCAGTGTATCGTTTGCGCATGGGGTGGTCTCGACCCAAGACGTCTGCAGGACAAGTTCATGGCTCTGTTGAGGAGTATGGCAATCTGGCCTCCACAGTCCTACAGCGAGGACTGACCACAAGCCCAATTTAAACGGATCCTCCAACTTGCCCAACGAAAAGACTGTGCACACACTTGAGCCCTGAACTCATGGATTCTACGAAGGTGCTACACATAAGGGTTCTGTGACGGTTCTGAAGTTCTGCAGAGCTGTCAGGCCAACTGGAAGCTTGCTTTGAAGGTTGGCGAGACGAAGACGCTGGGATTCTCCAGCCCACTATGGACAAACACCGACTTGCTCAACGAAGCATCGGCTGTTGATACCATTGAGGATGCCAAGTATAAGGAATTCATCACGGAGCCCTTCAAGCGAATTCGCATGTGCGTCGGAAGCCCGGAATCCAACTGCGTGGAGCACGTCTTCTCCACCACGTACGACAGCGCCAGGGCCCTTTTCAGTGCCGGGTACATTCGAGACGAAAAGGTGGACAAGGATGGCATTCTGAGCAGCTTCGGCCCCCCAGAAGGCACGTACCGGGATTGCCCCATGCAGAGGCCAGGGAGCATATGTCCACGTGTTCCTCCTTAGACCCTTTGTTCCCATCGCTGCTGGCGCTTCTGTTGTAGACTTTTTTTGGTGAGGCCCGGCTTCAACATCGAGTGCAGGGACGGCAACAAAGCTCGGTGGGGTTTCTGCGCGAACTGCAAGAATCAGCCTTGCCAGAACGAAGACGCCGACGATGCGGACGCCGCCATCGGCATCGGAATCGCGGGACAGGCCACGGACACTGAGCTTGGAGCAGGTTGGACCAGGTGCCATGGATGATAAGGAGCCACGAGTGATGTGCTAAGCATGTTCTTCCGCTGGTGCATCCTAAACCCCAAACCATCCTAAAGCCTAAATCCTAAACCCTAAAACATCCTAAACCCTAAATCCTATAAACCCTATATCCTAAACCCCAAACCTTCTAATGCAGGCGCACGGCCTGCCTTTGCCTTTCTCAGGTTTTTCACTACAGGAAACAGATGCGGCGAGGCTGGGAAAACCTTCAAACCCGTCTCTCGGCTGCTTTACTAAAGCCGTAAAGCCTAGCGTTCAGGGTTCAGGGTTTTGTTCCAGGGTTTAGGATTTAGGGTTTTAGGGTTTAGGGTTGGGTGTAGGTATGGATATCAGTACAAGCATAGTTATTTGTTCCATGTTATGTTCGTCGTCACGATTCCGTTTGGGAATCTAGGGAAGCCACGAGAAATCTGCTTTTGACAGACAACAGCGAGTAATTTGCTTTGGATCAACTGCGTGCTGTCTCCATCTGCATCCCGTAGAATACATTGTATGGTTGCACTGTTTCTGAACCTCTTTGGCTATGTAAACATTACGGGTTGTGTTGCAATCTGCACCATAGTATTTCGCAGAGGAAACACATGCGATAATTTCTATCCGGGGTGCAGCTGGTGTCAAATACCCATGCGACGGCGCAGGATTGCTGCTGAATTCTAGATGTGCTCGGGCTGCATCCTTGAGTTTAGAGTTTATAGGCTTTAAAGGGAACTTGCGCAGGGGCCAGAGTTGTAGCTGCAAGCAGAACGACAAACTCAGCAAACAATTACCCAGAGAGCCCAATACCCCTTAAATAAGGAATATACCCTAAATCACCATTTTAAGGCCCCTATAATTGAAGGTCTATTCCTTAATTAAGGGGGTATTGGGCTCTCTGGGTAGTTGTGTATTTTGCCAGAGCCGTAGATGCAACCTGGATAACGTAGGGGCCTCAATAATTAGAATAGGGTTTTTGGGGTTTAGTATTATAGTTATAGTATAATATACCCCAAACGCCTTAATAATTAGAATAGGGCTTTGGGGGTTTATGATTATAGTTATAGTATAATATACCCCAAACCGTATTCTAATTATTAAGGCCCCTATATTAGACCCGCAGCACATGGGCCACCCATCACAAACTCCGCAGCACTCGGCCAGGACCCCATCCTCATTCGTCTTTAGCCTCGAAATCGCGCGGTTTGCCCTAAACCCTCAACCCTAAACTCTTAACTGACCATTTTGAAGCGGTTCTGACAACCCAGAACTAACAACTGATCATCCTATGAGCGCTGATGCCCACGTCTGAACGGCCCCATCAGCCGCGGCGGGTTTAGGGTTTAGGAGCGACCCCCACAGCGAGAGATTGAGTCCCAATGCAAACCAGGTGTGGCTTTGGGTCGACAGCCTGGATACTACTCTGACCTGGTCCGTTTTTGTTGTTTTTGGTCCCTCCCTTTGTAGTGCCTTCGTTGTGGCCTAGGCTTCTCTCGATTTTGCCTTAAAGCCTGAACCCTAAGTTAGTCAAGGAAGCCTGCCCAATCCGGGCTCGGTAGCGCAAGCGACAGAAAAGGCACTCAAAAAAAAAACTAAACCCACAAACCTAATCCCTGAAACCGCCCTACCTGAAACCCTGAAACCCTAAACCCTGACGCCCTAAACCCTAAACCCTGAAACCCTAAACCCTAAAACCCCGAAGCCCTAAACCCTGAAACCCAAAACCCTAAACCCGGAAGCCCTAAACCCTAAAACCCTAAGCCTAAGCCCTAAACCCCTAAAAGGTGTACAGCCCGTAAAATGCCTATGGTTTATAAGGGTTAAGGGTTTCGGGTTCAGGGTTTGGGGATTAGGGTTTAGGGAATAAGGCTGAGGCTTTAGGATTCAGGTGAAGGCTTTAGAAGCCTGTAGACTAGACCCAGATGAAGTCTTAGGGTTTAGGGGCCTTTAAGTCTTAGGGTTCAGGGGCCTTTAAGTCTTAGGGTTTAGGGGCCTTTGAGTCTTAGGGTTTAGGGGCCTTTGAGTCTTAGTGTTTAGGGGCCTGTAAGTGTAGAATCCAGAGAAGCACCCGATGCAGCGAATGCAAAGGCCAACTGGAAGCTTGCTTTGAAGGTCGGCGAGACGAAGACGCTGGGATTCTCCAGCCCACTCTGGACCAACACCGCCTTGCTCAACGAAGCATCGGCTGTTGATACCATTGAGGATGCCAAGTACAAGGAATTCATCACGGAGCCCTTCAAGCGAATTCGCATGTGCGTCGGAAGCGCAGAGTCCAACTGCGTGGAGCACGTCTTCTCCCAGAAGTACGAAAGCGCAAGGGCTCTTTTTAGTGCCGGTTACATTCGAGACGAGAAGGTGGACAAAGATGGCATTCTGAGCAGCTTCGGCCCCGTCAAAGGCTCGTACCGGGAGTGCCCGATGCAGAGGCCAGGGAACACATGTCCACACGTTACTTCTCACACGTTTAGATTCCGTTGCTGCCGATGCTTCTGTTTTAGACCGTTTCGGCGAGGCCTGGCTTCAACATCGAGTGCAAGGACGGCAACAAAGCTCGGTGGGGTTTCTGCGCAAACTGCCCAAGCCAGCCGTGCCAAAACGCTGATAGCAGCGATGCGGACGCTGCTATCGGCATTGGAATCGCGGGACAGAAAACGGACACTGAGCTTGGAGCAGGTTGGACCGCGTGCCGCAGCTGCAATTCAGTCGCGACTGATACCCACATGGATGATTTGCTACAGCCCCTGGTGTGGTGAAGCCATGCATTTCTGCCTCGTGTCTCCCAGGTATTTCGCTCCAGGTGATGGCAAGTGCAGTGCCACCAGCAAGACCTTCAAGCCAGTCTCCCGCCTGCATTTGGCTCTTAAGCCTGAAGCCCTGACCCACGAGAACTGCTCGTTCGAGTATGCCAGTACTTGTTCAACATATCGTCCGTCAGTCTGCAATCTCTGCCATCGTACTTTATATAACTGGTTATTATATCTGAAAACATCTACCATCGTACCTCATATGATGTATTTTTTAATGTATGTCTGAACACAGGTTCAGGAATCTCTGTCATGGGCAAAGGTTGTCTTAAGTATCCATGTGATGGCGCAGGAAGTCTCAGGCTCTCTCGAAGTCATTTGGTCTTTGAGTCGAGCCACCCGTCCTGGGTGGGAATTTTGTACCTGCCAGAAGCGTGCCTGCTTCAGCAGCATGCAGCGTTGGCGACTGCTCGATGCCGGGGCGATGTTGCCTAGTGACAGGGCGAGGCAGGATCTGCAAGGAAAAGCCTTTGCGCACAGGCTTGCGTGAGGATGGCACGCTGTCTTGCCTTGGTACTTGCTCGCCGGTTGCTGGCCTGCCTAGTTGTGATTCACTGCTGTGGCTCACTCTCTCTCGCTCTCTCTCTCAGTCGCGTCGTCAGCAGCCCTTTCAGTGGGACTGCCGTGCGGGGAAAACAGAAAAAGTCGGCGGAAGCATGCGGCATACGGCGTGGGAAAAGAGCCCAGGGAAACTACATGATGGGCATGTCTATACAAGGCTCTTCGCTAATTACCCTTTTCGGGTGAGACGCTGGCAGGACTAGGGTAAATTTTACGCTTACCGGGGGGAAACGCTCAGTATGAAAGGAGGCTCCTATAGTTCTATAGTCGATGATGAAGCTCACCCGACGCACAATGACTCGCCGATAAAAGATGGAGCACCTGATAACTCAATCGATACTGGCATAGAGCCTGGCAAGGCCGTGGTTTCCCGGTTCGCCTCATGCCGGTGCCCCCAAACAGCATTGTGGAATAATTCAAAGGGTTGCATAGGAGTTGTCGTCGTCCAACGTGGGGAAGCATAGAACAAATCGTATTGCTACTGGTCCAGAAATGCACCTCTCCAAGAAGTGCGGGCGGGCGCACCAGCAGTCCTGACAGTCCGTTGGGATGTTCCAGAGGTTTCCGGGCTGATAAAAGCGCAGGATGACGTATATTAGACCAACGTAGAACCTCCAGCAAAGTGTGTGGGAAACTTGCGTCCAAATCGAGAAAACTAGGGACAGCCCATCCTCCACTGCTGGTCAGATCGTGGCGGTGGAACTGAATTTATCGACCTGAATTTGACGGTCTGGTGCAGATGCTCGTAAACAGTCGGCATGAAGTCCAACATAAGGCCAAATTCCAATGGCATACCAGCAGCCAGAAGGCCAGATGGCAATCGGCAAGAAGACGTCAGACTGGCAGTCCTTGCAGTCTTATTGGCAATCGTTGGAGAAGTCATGATGGCAATCTAGATAGAAGATCATAGTGACAATCAAGCGCTCATTGTGGGGGATGTTCGCACAATCTTGCGAAGGAAGCTGGTGCCATGGCGGCGCAAATAAGTAAAGACACGATCCACATTGTCTTGTGTCAGAACCTCGCTGCCGTGGCTGGCAAGCGCTTTTGGTGACCTGAGAATGTCTGGGGCTGTCGAGTATTCGCCAGAACTCCGCATGGATGGGTCGATGACGCTCGGAAAGCCGCCTGAGTCGGAGAAATCCCTTCCTGAGGCAAAGATAGGGTCTAGGGTTTGTTTGAGGTTTAAGGCGTTCCACCACCTGCAGTTAGTCACTCGCTCTCTTGCTCCGACTCTGCTCGACCCATGTGTGCCAAACCCGTTTCGAAGCCAACCTAGAAGTGCAAAGCCTAAAAGAGCTGAAGCATAATATGCAGGCTTCAATAATTAGAATAAGGTTTGGGGAATATTATACCACAGTATTCATAATAAGGAACCCCCAAAATCCTACTTTAATTATTAAGTCCCCTACATCTGATGTCTCCCTAACGTCAATCAGCCAGTTCTCCTGCGGCCGAGGAGCACCGAAGCCTAAATCGGAACGCTTGAACCCAAGACCCGCAAGTTTCCTCAGCCGAAACTATGCGCTTGTGGGCAGTTTCTCCAGATTAGGGTCCGCTTTTAGGTCCCCAAGATAGTACGGGACCCTTATACGATGGCCCTTAGAAGGGACCCTAATTCAGAACTATCCATGTAGGCTGAGAACTTTGATTGGGAGATCGTTGACCGTTGTAAAGGATGAAAAGCCTCAAGCCCTACACAACAGCCGTCCAGGTGTGGCTTTGGGTCGACAGCCTCGACACTCTGCTGCCTTTGTTTTTGTTTTTTTGCGTCCTTCCCTTGTGGTCCAATTATTCAAATTACCAATACCATAAACTTTGGGGGGTTCCTTATCATGAGTATACTGTAATATAAAAATATATTCCCAAATTCACCCAATGCACAAAACTATGTCATCGTCTCCGGTAAAGGTTAGGGTTTATCGTTCGGCAGCCGGCACTTCAGCTTCATCTGGATCGAGGGCTTCTTTTCGGGCTTAGGTGCTTTGAACCGAATCCTTTTCCTGACAGCTTTAAGTTCGGGCCGTTTCATACAAGATTTTCGAATGCTCCAGCCTCCTCGCTACAAGGACACAGGTTTGGCAAGCAAGACTTCATTCCGCGGTGCTGGGAGATCATTCGTTGATGAAAGAGTTCAAGAATTTTGCTTATCCAGACTGTATTTGCTGCTTTCAACACCTTAATGTTCAGAACAACACTGCAGTGGTCCGTTCACGCTCGTTCCCTTGTGCCCGAGCTCATGCATTCGGCCCCTGCTTGTAATTTTGAGGATCTCGGACATGGGACAGCCCCGGCTGTCTAGCTCAAGGAGTCCAGAAATCTCAGAACCCTTGGATGTGAACAAGGCCTAGATTGTCCGCAGCCCTGCTTCCCCAAACCCCTTGAACCGTGCATCCGTAAAGCTTACAGGCCAAGAGCCAAGCCTGAACAGCCTGAAGGCTGTACCAACTCCACAGTAGAATCTTTGGTACGATGACGTCCTGACACGATCCTCAGGTGAATTGGAAGCTTGCGTTGAAGGTCGGCGAGACGTCCTCGCTGGGATTCTCCAGCCCACTCTGGACCAACACCGCCTTGCTCAACGAAGCATCGCCGGTGGGCGAGATGAAGGATGCTAAGTACAGCCAGTTTAACACGGAGCCCTTCAAGCGAATCCGCATGTGCGTCGGAAGCCCGGAGTCCAACTGCGTGACCCACGTCTTCTCCCAAAGGTACGACAGCGCCAAGGCGCTTTTCAGTGCCGGTTACATTCGAGACGAAAGCGTGGACAAGGACGGCTTGCTGAGCAGCTTCGGCCCCGTCAAAGGCTCGTACCGGGATTGCCCGATGCAGAGGCCAGGGAACACATGTCCACACGTTACTTCTCATTTAGATTCCGTTGCTGCCGGTGCTTCTGTTTTAGACCGTTTTGGCGAGGCCTGGCTTCAACATCGAGTGCAGAGACGGCAACAAAGCTCGGTGGGGTTTCTGCGCGAACTGCAAGAATCAGCGTTGCCAAAGCGACGACGACGACGATGCGGATGCCACGATCGGCATTGGGCTCGCGGGACAGGGAATGGACACGGAGCTTGGGGCAGGTTGGACCAAGTGCCACAACTCAACTTAAGTCTACCCCCTAGGGCTCTAGTTGGCTAACTTGCAGGTCACAAGGGTATATTATAATTATATCATATAGGGTTAGGAACCTACTACTTAGGTAACTGGAGCCCTAGGGAGAAGTGATGTGCTAAGCATGTCGGCAAGGTCTCGGTGTCAGCACACAGCTGTACGGAAACCCTAAACCCCTAAACCCCTAAACCCTAAACCCCAAAACCCTAAACCCTAAGCTGCACCTTGCCTCTACCAGGTACTTCACCTCCACGAGCACCAGCTGCAACGGCGGCGCGACCTCCAAATCCGCCTTTCGGCTGCCTCTAGCTTCTACCCAGAGAGCCGAGAGCCCAATACTGTACCCCTCAATTAAGGAATATACCTTAAATTATAAGGGCCTTAATATTATGACTTAAGGTATATTCCTTAATTAAGGGGTATTGGGCTCTCTGGGTAACCCCTGAAATATAGCTCACAAGAGTTGTGCGTCATTGTTGTTCAACGTTGGGCGTAGCGGCGACTTGGAAATCTAGAGAAGTGGCTTTCGAGGCCCCTGGGCCCACATTTTTAACAGTGTAGACATCTGCTGGCCATTGGCGTCGAAATTCTGCTATACGGGTTGCCATACGGGATTCTGCACGGGTACTATTGGAAAGGGAATGCTTAAGAACAGCCAAGCACTCATTTGCCCCTACGTTTCTTGTCAAGCCCTCCGTGACACTCCGAAACCCGGAACCCGAAACCCGAAACCCAACACCTTTTTTCTAGACTGCGCAAGCTTCCTCAGCCGAAGCTGTGCACTTGCAGCCTAAGAGCTCTGAGGTGGAGACCTTTGACCGCTGAGCGAAACTGTAATATTAAGTAGCAGATCGGTTGGAAGCCCTAAACCCCGAAACCCCCAAACCCTAAGCCCCTAAACCCTAAACTCCCTAAACTCCCTCAACCCTAAACCCTAAAACCTTAAGCCCCTTAGTAAGGGGCAGCTCAGGTGTGGCTCTGGGTCGACAGCCTCGTCGCTCCGCTACCTTGGGGCTTTAGGGGTTTAGGGGTTTAGGGTTTAGGGGGGTTTTGGGGTTTAGGGTTTAGGGCTCCTAAACCCTAAACGCCCCTAAACCCTAAACGGGCTGTTTCTGGCGAATCTTCCCTTGTGTTCGTTTAGGTTCACAGTCTTGGGTCAAGGAATGGGGGGATGCCGTGGGGGTTTTGGGTTCAGCGTTTCGGGTTTGCAGCCTTCCGTGTCAAGGGTTTTAGCTTACATTTCAGTTTGGGTCGGTGCCTCTTCGCAGAGAGCCCAATACCCTTTAATTAAGGAATATACCGTAGATCATAATATTAAGGCCCCTATAATCTATAGGGTATATTCCTCAATTAAGGGGTATTGGGCTCTCTGGGTTCTGAGTTCAGAGTGCAAGGCTCTCTAAACCCTACACCCTAACTCATCATCCCAGGTGACTTCCCACCCTTTCCCTGCCAATACTCGTGTGGATGCAGGTAGACTCTGGTTGTATTTTACATACTTCAGGTACCGATTCCAGCGGCATCTTCAGCGTCAAGCTGGATAGAAGTTCAGGGCGACGACGATTCTGACCACACTTGATGATGCATCCATCTATAGGTGGTGGCATCTACGTTCAGTACATAGCAGAAGAAACATCGGTAGCTGCTTTGCAGAACCCCATCACCCCCTTAAGGGTTTAGGGTTCATGGTTTGCTGAACTGAGCCTTCATGCCGCCCCCCCCGCCCATCTGAAAGCCTTTGAAGCCTGCAAGGCAAGTTGAGGTTCATGAACTATGCGCTCAGCTTCAACAAATTGCTGTAGACTCTGAGCAGATGGCAGGGCAAGAGTAGATCGACCTCGATCATTGCGGACTGTTGCATAGCGGCATAGCGCAAAGCCCCCGTAGCAAGGATATGTAAGGAAAGCAGCTTGGATTCCGACCCTTTGAGAAAGGGGACTTTGTTCATCACGGGCCTAGCTCCTAAGCCCGTCCTCATTGAGTCAGGTCTAATGCAGGGACCTGGTTAAGAGAGACCCCGGCCCTATAACCTGAAAAGATAACGTTTCTGAATCAGGTTCCTTACATTAGGGTTTGGGGTTTGGGGTTTAGGGTTTAGGTTCCTGATATTTGGGGGTGAGGATTTTGAAGGATTAAGGACGGCCCAAAGACAGACTTCTACGAGGGCTTTCTTCGGGTCGAGGGCTGAATCCTGTTCGAAAAAAGGTCCGAGGAGTTAGGATTTGGGGCGTAGGATCTACTTTAACACCTAAAAGCCCTGCTGTTCTAAGCGATTCTATAGCGTTGTAAGAAGTAAGAACTCTCTGAAATGTAGGGGTTTTCTTAGGGCTTTAAACGCTGCGAGAGGGGTTTAGGGTTTAGATTCGCCCTTACATCCCGTATCTTCTTTGGATGAGGTTTCTGAGATTCCGAAGTAACTGACAAGGCGACGCGAGGTCGATGTTGCAGAATTCTTGCCCAGAAAGCTCCCAGATTGCCACTCCTCACCGGTCGTGTGGGACGCTTCGAAAGATCTCGACTGGCGCGGCAAAGAAGATAAGGCGACACCAGACAACATGCCAGAGCTTTGGGAGGCGTCAGGAGCGGGTTTAGGGGGTGAAGGGTTTAGGGGTATAGGGTTTTGATATCATTGGAATGCCAGCAAAGGGTGTTCGGCATTGTCATGTTCACATGTTAGCTAGCAGCTAGATCAAGGCCACCTCTTAATGGACATTGTTGGTGCATTTCGCGAGTGGCTGACGAAAAGGGCACCTCCTAGGAAGTCCTTACGACCTTGGAATAGCCCCATGAAGATGGCTTTTCAATCCTCGTCTCTGTCTGTGTCTGTGTCTGTGTCTGTGTCTGTGTCTGTGTCTGTGTCTGTGTCTGTCTGTGTCTGTCTCTGTGTCTGTGTCT